GTGGGAGAGACATGAATTGAATCATATGAGAAGCTAAGTCCCCACTGTATCTGAGACCAGTCCTGGCGTCTGGCTGCCCAAGCCCAGCTGGCCCTATGCCTGCTCCTGCTCAGTCTGAAAAGAGCAGGCAGGTCTCCAGCTGTCTGGCAGGATGAGGGTCGCCGGTGACCAAGGGGTGCTTGGAGCCCTGATACGTGTGTGTGTGTGTGTGTTACTGCCTGGCCCGCGTGGGTCTTGGCACTGAGTCCACCCACAGAGCCCTTTTCCATCCCTTGCCATCTGGCCTCTGAACCATGGGCAGCAGGATCTCTGCCAACAGTCCGACGTGATGGTGTATGTTTCTCTCCTTCAGCTGATTTGTTCTTGTCTCAGGTCACTAATCCACTGCAAGAACTGGGGATCAGATGCCTGTCACAGAGGGCCAAGGTTGTGAAGCGTGTGGCTGCTGCAGCAGAAACAGCAAACTTAAAACGTGTGGTGTGCACTACCCCGGGGCCTTGTGCATTGAATTCTCCCGGTGAATTTCTTACTTTTTGACCAAAGATGTTGTTGGTCTTCCGAGACTCCTTTTTCAGAAACCTATAGATTCCTTCCTTGCCATATTCACCAGGAAAGTATAATTTAATTTGCATACAGTTTTCTTGGATCGAATAAATCAGCTGAAAGCAGCTGTCTATGTTTTTCTCCTTCTGATTTACTTCACACTGTGTGATAAACTCTAGGTCCATCCACGTCTCTACAAATGATCCAGGCTGAGTAATATTCCATTGTATGGAATGGAATATTCCATTGTATATATGTACCACAACTTCCTTATCCATTCATCTGTTGTCAGTGGACATCTAGGTTTCTTCCACATCTCGGCTACTATAAACAGTGCTGCAGTGAACACTGAGGTACATGTGTCATTTTGAATTATGATCTTCTCAGGGTATATGTCCTTCTGTGGGATTGTTCGCCCCCACTTTGAAAGAATAATGAGTTTCAGGAATACACCCACCAGACTTCAGTTCTCTGTGAGTGAGGCATATGCTATATGTCTGTATCTAGCACAGTATGGTATTTAGCAATATAGACTCTGGAGCCAGGCATTCTGGGCTCACATCCTGCCAGGAACACTTGCAGGCCGTGTGGCCCCTCTGTGCTTCAGCTGCCCCATCGGTAAAGCAGCACGGGTCTCCCAGCTGTGATGGCTGCATGGGTGAGGACAGCTGAGGGTCAGGACACAGCCTGGGCTGTGAGTACTGGAGATCTAACCCACTGCCCAGCCCCTCCTGGTCTCAGCACGAGTCTGTGAAGGAAGAGCAGCAGCCTTTGACTGCTCACCTGGCTGAATCCCCGCAGGTATCCTTGCCTCTGGATCAGAAATGTAGGGACAGAGCTCTAGGGGGAAAAAAAGAGTGGTTGGAATGACTGGCCAGGGAGGCAGTGAAATATCTTTCTTTGAGGTTCTCCTAACAATCTTGACTCTCCTGGGTCGAGAAGGCAGGGGTGGAGTCCTGTGTGTTTGTGAGGAGCTGGAGGCATGGGAGGGAAGGGGCATATGAGCTCTCAAGAGAAAGGATGGTCCTGACTCTGACCTCACGCAGGTCCACTCTGGCAATAGCTGCTAAGAGGGAGCCCTGGGGTTAGCATCCCTGAGCCAGGATTAGCTCACACCCTTCCAGGGGGTCTCAGTGGGACTTCTCAAGGGCTGTTCTTGGTCTCTGTTGAATCTTTACCTCCTGGAGCCTTGGCATTGTCAGCATCCACCCTTCATTCTTTTCCTGTGACCCCGAGCCTCTGGTTAAGAACGATGTCCTGTATCAATTCACAATATTTAGAGATCATGGTGAATGAGACTCTGAGATTCCTCAGAGGGAATTGTCTGGGGTCTTCTAAGCATTATGGATGTGGCAGAGCCGCTCAGTGTCAGCCTGTCTTTAATATATGTGTCTGTGTGCATGTACACATGTTGCACGTATAGACTCTTGAATGTAGTAAGTGATCATAGAGCCTCTTGAAAGTGAGAGGACAGTGAAAAAGTTGGCTTAAAACTCAACATTCAGAAAACTAAGATCATGGCGTCTGGTCCCATCACTTCATGGCAAATAGATCGGGAAACAGTGGAAACAGTGACAAACTTTATTTTGGGGGGCTCCAAAATCACTGCAGATGGCGACTGCAGCCATGAAAGTAGAAGACATTTACTCCTTGGAAAAAAAGTTATGACCAAACTAGACAGCATATTAAAAAGCAGAGACATTACTTTGCCAACAAAGGTCCATCTAGTCAAGGCTATGGTTTTTCCAGTAGTCATATATGGATGTGAGAGTTGGACTTTATAAAGAAAGCTAAGCGCCGAAGAATTGTTGCTTTTGAACTATGGTGTTGGAGAAGATTCTTGAGAGTCCCTCGGACTGCGAGGAGATCCAACCAGTCCATCCTAAAGGAGATCAGTCCTGGGACTGATCAGTTGGAGGGACTGATGTTGAAGCTGAAACTCCAATACTTTGGCCACCTGATGCAGAGAGCTGACTCATTTGAAAAGACCCTGATGCTGGGAAAGATTCTAGGCAGGAGGAGAAGGGGATGACAGAGGATGAGATGGTTGGATGGCCTCACCGACTCAATGGATCTGAGTTTGAGTAAACTCCGGGAGTTGGTGATGGACAGGGAGGCCTGGCGTGCTGCAGTCCACGGAGACACAAAGAGTCGGACACGACTGAGCGACTGAACTGAACTGAGATGTACATGTACTTAGAAAATACAACGTTTATACTCATGTTCCCTTAAACTATAAAATGCTTTACTTCTCTTACTGCTTGAGGCTTCTGGCTTGCTGTGTTCCCTCTACTTTCCCAAGACTGCAATCTCCAGAACTTAACTCATTACTGAACCAAACTCAGTCCCTTCCTCTGAGTGCAGTAAAGTTCATCTACCGACACCAGGTTGTAAAGAAAGAAAGGAGCGTTTATTGCAGGTGCCAAGCAAAGAGTCTAGGAAAGCTAGGTGCTCAGAACACCTGGACTCCTTAAAGGGTTTCTCAAGAAAGCATCGTTAAAGGCCAGGTGAGGGAGGTGAGGGTCCAGGGTATGTGATCTGCTCATGCGGTTCTCTGATGGGCTGATGGTGGTACCAGAGTGGTGTCACAGGGGTGAACATGATCAGTCCTCAGCCTCCAGGAGGCCTGGGGGTATGTGTTCATGGTCGTCAGGTAGTTAGCGTTTTCCATTTGGTGATGGTTTTAGCATCTGTAAAAAAAAAAACTCAGGAAGTTTGAAGAAGGAAATGTAATAGGAAGATTTGTTCAATGTAGAAGAGACTGGCGCTATGGAGAGGGTGCCTGGAGAACTCTAAGGGGAAGAGGACGAAGGGAAAAGTGGACAAGGAAGAAGCTTAGGAACTCAGAGTAAAGAGCCTGCATGCCCACGGGCCTCAGACCCCAGAGGGGAGGTTCCTGGGTCAGGGAGCACTCTGCCTGCAGCACGGTGGTGGTGATGCTGGCGAGGATGAAGGTACCCAGAGCCGGTGGCTGAGGGCAGCCTGCCGACCCCCTGCGACACCACTGAGGTGTCTGCATGCTGCCGCTCTGAAAAACAGACACAGATAAGGGGGAGAAAAAGGCCCTTCTTTCTCTCCCAGCCATGCATCGTCCTGCCCACGCTCCTATTGTCCAACCTCAGGGCCAGCCAGCTGGCAACGGGAAAGCTAGCCTGCAGAGTCCAGCTCCAGTATTACAAAGCGGGAGAAGGCTGGGGGAGGCGGGTGGAGCTGCAAGATGTGAAATTAATAACTGGCACAGATGGAAAGTACATTTTTTCATCCCCAAGGATGGAAGGAAGCCCAAAACACCATCATGCAAAAGGGAGATAGATTGACTCAGAAAGGCATTTGCACCTAAAAACCAATGGTTTAGGTGAAAACATCTCTTGGAGCAGAGCTATGAGATGCATCCTGTTTGCTGCCAAGGTACTGGGTAAGCAATACAGGGTGTTATAAAGCCTATTGTGCAAAAAATGTGCAGAACGCTGAGGGCTCTTCAACTGAGCAAATGCCCAATACAGAGTTGATATAGCTGAGAAACGCATTCTAGAAGAAATGGAGTCAAAAGTCAGTCATTGAAAGATCACTCTTCAGGGAAGCTCTTTATTACTTTCAAAAATGGTGATAAACTTTTTCTGTGCAAAATAGCATTTACCATCTCCCTCCCAACCTGAGCTCTTGATATTCCTGGAGAGTCTAAGACTGAGGTTTGTAGGATCTGGGGCACAACCTTGGTGAGCCGTGAAGGCCCCTCTCCCTGCCAGAAGGGAGTGGGTCTGAGGGTGAAGAGTGGGAAGGGTTCTTTCCATGTGATGGAGAGGCAGTCAGGGACCTGTCCAGCCCGGTCTGTTGCCTGCACTTGTGACATGGTGACCGAGCCCTGCAGTCAGCAGTTCCTCCTCTCTCCCCAGAACCCTGACCTTCCTGCCTCCATCGCAGCTTCTCTAATTGCAAAGTGTCCTTCCTGATTTGCTCTCTAGACAATCATGTCTGCTCTGCAAAGTGCTGACTCCCAGCCTTGCTGGGCAAATTGAACACATCGCTCTTGGAAATGCCGATGCTGCCAAGGTCGGTCCAAGGGTCCCTCTTCTCCACTGGAAGCCTGCCTCACCTCCTGTCCATCCCAGCAGTGGTGAATCTGAGTATGTGTGGGGCATCGACCCCCAGCTGCGCCAGGTCCACATGGAGTTAGGCCTCGAGCCCTTCTCTAAGTGTGATAGAGAATCTGCCTGCCAACGTAGGAGCTGCAGGAGATGGGAGTTCAATCCCTGGGGTGGGAAGATCCCCTGGAGAAGGAAATGGCAACCCAGTCCAGTATTCTTGCCTGGAGAGTCCCATGGACTGAGGAGCCTGTCAGGCTACAGTCCATGGGGTCACAAAGAGTCGGACACGGCTGAGTGACTTAGCATGCACACACGTACATTACACGGTATGTACATTTGGAAAAACTCACTTTGTACATACAAAGAACAGGTATGTACATTTGGAAAAACTTAAGCTCTATAAATTTGTGTGTAAATTATTCCTCAATAAAATTTTCTTTAAAAAGTGCTTTCATTGACATTATTCTGTTTGTTCTCCGCAACAGCCTGAGAGAGGAATGCAGTGAAAATTCTCCCCATTTCATGTTTCAGAAGCCCAACGTTCAGATAAAAAATTCTATGAGTTGCCTGAGATCTCACAACTGGGATGAAATTCAGCCTTTTACTCTTGTTCCATTTTTTCTATTACATGTACTACTTAGTGGTTTCAGCTGCACCATGAAACAGGGTATAAGTTGGTTCTTTTATAAATAAGTGAATGGAATACAAGGTTCCAGAACCAAACCAAACCTGCATGTTTCCTGACACAGTGGACTAAAATAAGAACTGGGGCATTAAGAGGCTTCCTGGTTGGTTCAGTGGTGAAGAGTCCACCTGTCAGTGTGGGGGACACTGCTTCAATCCCTGGTCTGGGAGGATCCCACAGGCTGCAGAAAAGCTAAGCCCGTGTCCCACAATTAACTGAGACTGTGCTCCAGAGCCCAGGAGCCACAAGTGCTGAGCCCACAGGCTGCAGCTGCTGAAGCCTGGACGCTGGAAAGTCCGTGCTCTGCAACAAGAGAAGCCACTATAAAGAGAAGCCCAAGCACTGTCACTAGAGAAAAGCCGGCCCAGCAATGAAGACCCAGCACAGCCAAAAATCAATTAAATAAATAAAACAACATAAAAATATCCTCTACAGTGATCGTTCACATGGGCATGCACAGTATTTATTTCAAAAAAAATTTTAAAATGTGATTGGTGTATTAAAACCATAACATGTTATTTGCTGGTGTACGGCGCTGTTGTTTTTGTTCAGTCACTCAGCTGTTTCCAACTCTTTGCGACCCCATGGACTGCAGCACGCCAGGCTTCGCTGTCCTTCACCATCTCCCGGAGCTTGCTCAAGCTCATGTCCACTGAGTCGGTGATGCCATCCAACCCATCTCATCCTTTGCTGTCCCCTTCTCCTCCTGCCTTCAATCTTTCCCAGCATCAGGGTCTTCTCTAATGATTCAGCTCTTTGCATCAGGTGGCCGAAGTATTGGAGCTTCAACCTCAGTCCTTCCAATGAATATTCAGGGTTGATTTCCTTTAAGATTGACTGGTTTGATCTCCTTGCAGTCCAAGGGACTCTCAAGAGTCTTCTCCAACACCACAGTTCAAAAGCACTAGGTAGTAATTTAATATTTGCATACTTTATGAAATGATCACTGTGATAAGCCTAGTAACCATCTGTCCCTGTGCAGAATTATTATGTTATTTGCCATATTCCTTATGTTGTATATTATATTCCCACAGCTTATTTATTTTATCGACTTTCCAGGTATATCCATGGTTAAGAATCCACCTGCAATGTCGGAGACAAAGTTTGATCCCTGGGTAGGGAAGATCCCCTGGAGAAGGAAATGGCAACCCATCCCAGTATTCTTGCCTGGGAGATTCCATGGACAAAGGAACCTTGAAGGCTATAGTCCATGGGGTCACAAAGAATTGGACATGATTGAGCTTCTGAGCACATTATTTTTACAACTGGAAGTTTGTACCTTTTAATCTCCTTCACCTATTTCACACCCCTTCCATCCCCTTCTCTTTGGAAACCACCTATTTGTTCTCTGCTATTAGGAATGTCTTTCCATTTTCTTTTGTTTTGTTTTTTAGATTCCACATCAAGTGAGATCATTCAGTATTTGTCTTTGATTTATTTCACTTAGCATAACATCTTCTAGGGGCCTCCCTGCTGGCTCAGTGATAGAGAATCCACCTGCCAATGCAGGAGACACAGGTTCAATCCCTGGGTCAGGAGGATCCCCTGGAGAAGGAAATGGCAACCCACTCCAGTATTCTTGCCTGAGAAATCCCATGGACAGAGGAGCCTAGCGGGCTACAGTCCATAGGGTCACCAAAGAGCGGGAGATGACTTAGAAACTAAACAACAGTATTCTCTCGATCCATCCATTTTGTCACAAATGGCAAGGTTTCATTTTTGTCAATGTCTGAGTAATATTCCATTGTATATGTACACACATAATATGTACAGGTATATGTATATGCATATATATATATATATGTATACGTGTATACATATGTATGGGCTGCACTGATGGCTCAGTGGTAAAGAATCCACCTGCAGTGCGAGAGCTGCAAAAGACATGGGTTCAATCCCTGGGTCGGGAAGATTCCCTGGAGGAGGAAATGGCAACCCACTCCAGTATTCTTGCCTGGAGAATCCCATGGACAGAAGAGCCTAACTGATAACAGTCCATGGGTTTGCAAAGAGTCAGACACAACTGAAGAGGCTTAACACTGCATACGTATGTACATATCATGTGCATATATATATTTTGTTGTCTTTTTCATAATGGCCATTCTAACAGGTAGGAGGTTCTCTTTGTGGTTTTACTTTGTGCTTCCCTGATGATTAGTGATGTTGAACACCTTTTCATATGCCTGTTGGTCATCTGTATGTCTTCTTTGCAGACATCTATTCAGGTTTTCTACCCAGTTTTTAATTGTTGGGCAGTTGTTTTTTTTTTTTTTTTTTGATATTGTCTTGCATGAGTTCTTTGTATATTTTAGGTATTAACATCTTATCAGGTATATTGTTTGCAAAGATCCTCACCCATTCAATAGTCTGCTTTATGTTTTATTGATAGTTTCCTTCACTGTGCAAAAGGTTTTTAGTTTGACACAGTCCTATTTTATTTTGCTTTTGTTTTCCTTGCCTGAGAAGACATATCCAAAAAATACTGCCAAGACCAGTGTCAAAGAATGTACTGCGTATGTTTTCTTCTGGCAGTTTTATGGTTTCAGATCTTACATTTTTGTCTTTAGTATATTTGTGTTTATTTTTGTATATAGTGTGAGAAAGTAGTTCAGTTTGTTTCTTTCACATGTAACTGTCCAGTTTTCCCAGCAGCACTTATTAAAGATGCTGTCTTTTCCTCATTGTATATTCTCATCTCCGTTGTCTTAGGTTAATTAACTGTAAGTGCACTGGTTTATTTCTGGGCTTTCTCTTCTGTTCCACTTATCTATGTGTCTGTTTTTGAGCCAGTGCCATACTGTCTTGATTACTATAGCTTCATACTATAGTCTGGGGTCTGGGAGACTGATTCCTATAGCTCCGGTCTTCTTTCTCAAGATTGTTTGCTATTGGGGGTCTTTTGTGTTTCCATATAAATTTTGAAATTGTTTGTTCTGGCTCTGTGAAAAATGCCATTGTCTTTCAATAAATATTGGTTTGAATACATAGATTTCCTTGGTGGTATGGTCACTTAACCATACTGATCCTTCTAATACAAAAACACAGTACATCTTTTCATCTGTTTGTGTTGTCTTCAATTTCTTATATTAATAGTTTTCCTAGTACAGGTCTTTTATCTCCTGAGTTAGATTTATTCCTAGGTATTTTGTTCTTGTTGATGTGACTATACACAGGGTTTTTTCTTAATTTCTCTTTTGGATGGTTTGTTATTATCATATAGAAATACCACACATTTCTGCATGTTAATTTTGTATGTTGCAACTTCAGTGAATTCATTGACCAGTTCTAATAGTTTGGGCACTGTGTCTCGGGGATTCTCTATATACACACAGGATCAAGTCTTCTGAGAGCATCACTATCATTAATTGGCTTCTTAAAAAGATTGCTTTGGTGCGAGTTCCAGCTTTGCCTGCTCAGCAGTTTATATTTCTAGGAAAACTTCAGGAAGTGTCCGTTTCTGCATCTGTCTCCCTGTAGAGGGCACTCTTCTCATCCCAACCCGGGTTTCAAGGTTTCCAAAAATACCAAGGAGGAAGATGGTGCAGACATTGTCATGCATTCTTGATGCGAAGGTTCCCACACAAGGAATCTCCCCTCCTTCTTTTCATGCTCCTTCCTTCCTTCATCTCGTTCAGCAAAAAGTTTTGAACACCTACTATGTGCAGGCGTTGAAAGTGTGAATGACATGATCCTTCAGTTACACCTAATGACAGAGACAGATGTGTACCCAGACAGTCAAAACACAATTTAAAAAAATGTTTATTTATTTTCGGCCGAGTCTTCACTGCTGCTTGCAAGCTTTCTCTAGTAGCTGTGAGTGGGGGCTACTCTCTAGTTGCTGTACATGGGCTGCTCATTGTGGTGACTTCTCTTGTTGTGGAGCATGGACTCTTGAGAGCAGGCTCAGTAGTTGTGGCATATAGGTTTAGTTGCCCTGTGACATGTGGGATCTTCCTGGACCAGGGATCGAACCTGTGTCCTCTGCATTGCGAGGCAGATTCTTAACCACTGGACTGCCAGGGTATCCCTCAAAACATGATCTCAAAGTGCTGTGACAGAGGAGAAGAGGTTGAGGACCCTATAATAGGTTAGGTCTAGGTTGTGAAGGGACTTGTATAACATCTAAGGTGCTAGATTTTCTCAGGGTAGGGTGGGCAGGAGAACCTTAGCAGGGAGGTGTCAGGAACCCACCTGAGTTTGGAGAGGTCACCCTGGCCTCAACGTGAAGGCTGGATTAGGACTGAGAAGATCGGAGCCCCCTTTGCTGGCTGTGGCCCTCCTTCTCCTGCCCTCAGATCCTGGAGGGTCACAAGTCTCCATCCTGGGCATTCTCATATCTGCCTTTATCTTCTTTCCTCCTGTAGCTGCAACACCTCTGTTGCTGCCAGGTGATCGTTCATGTAGATTTTAGTCTATTGGGAAACGACTCTCAGTTTCACCTCTCCAGCCCAGACCACTCTCCTGATCCACAGTATCCTGCATCTGAAAGCCTTCTTGGCCTCCCCTGGACTGTCTTAACCTGCTCTTCCCCCTTGTTTTTCCCAGCATAGTAAATATCACCACCATCCACCAGTGAGTTACTTTTAAAATCTCCAGAACCACGTGACTTTCCCAGATCCTTCACACACTTTGAGCCCAGGTAGTGAAATTAACCAAAGTTAAGGCCTTGGAGAGTTTTAAAGGTGGACAGGACTTCAGACATTGATCAGTCCAGCAGAGGGAAAAAATGTCCACGTTCAGCAGAGCCTGCCAAGTGGCTGAAGCGGAAAAAGGACCCAGGGGATGCCTAGCTCATTAAATCCACTGAGCACCCTGGAATCTGATCTCAGCTTCTTCAGAATGCTGGTGGCCTGGGCCTTGCTGGCTGGTCCTTGTCTCTGTATTAACTGAGCTTAATTGTCTAGCTGTCACAGTCGGCAGCCAGCCTTATCCTTATGCATTTGGGGCTGATCTAGCTGTTGCTGTGGGATTTACGCAGCAGTGAGTAACTTTAGCAAGACATGCATTT